TTATAACATCTAAGCTTTAAAGCAATAGAAGAAAATCATAAAGGAACAGATCCTTTCCTGACAATATAAAGATGTAAAACTTCCATAAAACAAAAAATAACTAAAAGAGAATTGCAAACAACAGATTAGAATGTTCATTACAACTAAAAGCAGGGTTAATATTTAAGTTGTACAAAGAACTCCTTCACATATGAAAGAATGATGTTACAGCTGTGGTAAATGAGCAAAGGATTTGATGTTTTCCACAAAAAAAAATAAAAATTATAGGAAATAAATGGAAAAATTTAGTGTTTGCGAATAAACAAATAACTTCAATAAAAGCATCCTTGAGGTACCATTACATATTTCTTAAATTAGCAAAATGGTTTTCTTTTCAAAATAATGATACCCAAAGCTGAGAAGTTCATAGTGAAACCGACACACCCCTGCACTGATATTCCCACTGTAAGCGGGACAGTCGACGTCACTGCATGGCTGCACATGCACTCACATCCACAGCCCAGAACAGCTTCAGATACGCTGCCCCTGTGTCAGTCTGCTCGGGCTGCCATAACAAAGCAGCACCACAGACTGGGCGGTTTACACAACAGAAATTTATTTTCTCACGATTCCGGAGGCTGGAAGTCCAAGATCAAGGTGTCAGTGGAATTGATTTTTTCTGAAACCTTTCTCCCTGGCTTGTAGATGGCTGCTTTCTCCCTGTGTCCTCACAGGGCTGCCCCTTAGTTTGTGTGTGTCCTAGGCTCTTCTTTTTATAAGGACATCAGTCATATTGGATTAGAAACTGCCCATATGACTCATTAAACCTTAATTATCTCTTTAAAGACCCTATCTCCAAATACAGTCACAGTCTGAGGTATGGGGAGGGCAGAGGTGATGACTTGAGCATTTGAACTGTGGGGGAGGACACAGTTGAACCCATAATACACCAGTAATACCTCTCCTGGTAATTTATCCTAAGGAAATAATTCAAATAAAGAAGAAAGTATGTGTATAAAAAACATTCATTTGTAGTGTTTCAATAATATCAAACAATTAAAAACAGCTGGAAGATTTATAGCAGACGTTAAATAGCTTGTTACATCCATTCAATAGACTATTTTGCAGCCATTAAAATTTTTAAGAATGAAAACTATGTAGAAACATAAAAATTTCTTAAACTATAATGAGAAAAGTAGAATATAAATATGATATGATTGATCGTGAGAAACACTTGTGCACATGGACAGAGAGGAAAGGAGGGTTGGATCACTCTCACGGTGAGTCAGAGGTGCGCGACTTTGCTCTTCTTGCAGACTATTTCCACGGTGTTTCTGTTTCTCTTTTTTATTTCAAAAAGAACAAAGTAGGTTAGATTGAGTAATGGATGGTAAGACAGCACCAGGCTTCCGTGGTGGGTAGTACTAGGTTTTTAGTGCCTTAAGTTTTAATTTTAGTCAGAAATAAGAAAAATGAGGACGAGTTGAGGCTTGACAAATTAGTCTAGCACCTCAGCGATGCGGCAGTGATGCCAGAGTGCCTGGGAAGGCTCTGCTGTGCTGAGGAGGGGGACTCAGCCTGGCCTTGGCACTCCTGAGGCTGGCAGCCTGGTATGTGGAGAGGAGCAGTCTTGGCTCTCTGTGACCTCGGGCAGTCCATTTCTTCTCTGACCCTCAGGTTCCTCTTCTTTAAAATGCAGTTGTTGGAATCCTTACAAAGGCCACGTTTTGCTTTCTGTATTCTTTCATTCTCTATTTTGTCCCAAATATGCACAGAATAATCGTGCAGTATTTTTCTTGCACATGACAGTTACAGCGTATACTCTGGCCATTCTGTACCTCTGGCAGAGAGCCGGAACCAGGTAGGAAGTCAGAGAAAGGAAATAAAATAAACTCAGCCACTTACACTTTCTCAGCACTTGATTACAAGAAGCTAAACCACAGTTTCTCCCCAGACCTTGCCCTGGCCACCACCCAAGCCCAGTGGAGGTCAGTGGAGCTCAGCAGTCCCTGCCTCGACCTTTCTTCAGGGAACCTCCGAGTGGGCCAGGGCCGAAGCGGAAGCATTGTGTTTCACTTCCGTGACTTTGGCCTTAGGCTTCTCAGCCAGGGTAGTGGGTAGAGAGCTCTTGGAGGGTAGACAGCTGCCCTGCCCCTACCCCTTACCCCCACCTGCCAGGACGTGGGCAGCTGTCCGAAAGGCTGGGCACATCAGCAGGAAACCGATTTTAAGGATGTCATTGCACGGGGGAGAAACCAACAGGAGGGCGCTGAGAGCAGCAGCAGCTGCAGGCGTTGACAGAACCCGTCTCCTCCTCGAGCTGGAAAATCCGTCATTTCTTTTTAGGAGTCTATCAGGCCCCCAAAGGGAGGGTTAGTGAGTAAACAGAAAGAATAATAAAGGCATCCTAGCCTTGAAGACTTATTCAGGTCAACAGAGAAAGCATTACCCTGCAGTGCGTGGATTCTGAGGCTTTTATCCCTGTATTTGATCAAACATTTGCCTGTAGCATCCTTGCACACACCCTATTCCCTCCTGAAGGGTTAGGTGGAGGGATTCTTTATTTTTAAGGTGAACCAAAATAACAACACGCACAGTAACTCAGATGCCTTGTGTGTGTATGTGAGAGAGAGAGAGAGAGTGTGCGTGTGTATGTGCACTCGCGGAGGCAGCAGTGAACAGTGAAAGGATGTGAGTTTTAGAGTTACTGAGTTGTTCATGTATTCATTCCACAGATCTTGCTGAGCTCCTGGCATGTGGCCACCACTATTCTGGACGTGGGGGATGCAGGGGTGGACAAAGGAGACAGGATCTCTGCTCTGGAGGAGCTCATATTCTGGAAGGGAACAAATGATAAACCAGTAGACTAGTCAGAGATGAGGGCTCCTAGTCCAGCTCACCGTTTAGCAGCCATGTGGCATTCGATACGTGACTTTGACCTCACTAAACCCCAGCTTCTTCACCTATCCAATGAGACGATAGCTGTCTTAAAGGGATGTTTTACGGGTTAGAGAGAGAGTGCTCACTGGCACGCGAGGGTTCCTCAGTAAGTGGTAGACACTTATGGTTAGGGCAGCACCTCTGTGGGCTTAAGCTTCCTGTCTGCTACCTATGAAGTGGAGAAAGGAGGGAGGTGGGAAGGAGAGAGGACATGCAGAACTCATAAGCATCCTCAGTGGGGAGGATTGAAAGCTTGTGCACCTTTCAGCAGAAAAGCTAGTCTTTCCTACCATTTGCCTTTCCTGCCATCTAGCCTCTAAAAACAAAAACAAACAAACAAATGCTAAATTGAGTTCAACCTAAGTGTTGAGCCAAAGGTGGATGTGTGTGTAAGTGCTGCGGAAATGAGAGGCCAGAGAAGAGACGCACAGGGTCTGCAGAGAGACTCTCCATTTCTCGAGTCTGGCTCTATTCAGGGTCTGGGCAGAGGTAGGGTTCTTATTGTGTGCTTGTGCAGTTTACAAATATGTGACAGAGTTCAATAATGTCGGTTCAGTCAGCCATTTAACAAATGTTGATTAAACTGGATGCTGAAATAGATGGACGATAAAACCTCTGTGCCTTCAAGAAGCTCCCAGTCTGGCGGGGGAGGCACACATACAAGTTACTCTAATACAGCATGAAGGGGTGTATGTAAGGTGTCTGGGAGTCTGGAGGAAGGAGACTCAGCTTGGATAGGAGAGTTCGAGAAAATGTCCCCAGGAAGGTGGCATTGTTGCTGGCATCTGTGTTGTGTTTGAAGGATCGCTAGGTTATAGGAAAGGTAGATGCTATCTGATAGTGGACAGTAACTCTTATTCTCAGAACTCTTTTGTTTTAATTCTTGCAGCCAGTAGACACGGCTGACCTTCTCATCTTCAGTAGCCTTTCCTCCTTGTCATGGAGCATGCAGGAGGAGCGCATTGTCTGCAGTTGTATAATATAGTTGCTCTAAACATTAGTTAATTGGCTTCGAAGTGCCACATTATTTCTGAGGTTCCTACAACCAAAATCATTAAAAGTGCATAGTGACCTTAAGAAGAACCTGTCATGAAGCTGTTTTATGACACCCCAATGTAAATGAGAAGCTCTGAAGTTTGATATGTGATTACTGTTGACTTGATTCCTTTCAAAAATATGGACAATAATAGAAAACAGAAAAATCCAAGCTAAGTGTCAAAGCCATAGAAAACCATACTTAGACTAAGATAAGATCAGGGAGAAAGTTCAGAGACCATGCAAGCCGAAAGAGCCTATAAAACCAGAGGCTATATAAGGTCTGGTCCCTAAAGCCATATAAAAACATATTTTAAAAAGCTAAGTTTGGTACTAAGCTTTCTAGAGGCTTAAACAAGAACAACTTAAACTCCTCCTGTCGGTTATTCTGTTTATATCAGTGGGGTTGACAGATATGTTTTCTCAGTGGCGTAGAAAAAAGGTTTTCCTATTCTGAAAAGAATTTTTTTCATGAGGTTCTACATACAGGAGAGGTTTGGGTGACAGAATATGGACCGTGAGGAAGAACAAATGAAATGATAAATGGGGTTGTTAAGGTTGTTAAAAGCCCAGGCTTTGAAGTTATGACTGACCTAAATTCAGATTGTGGCTCCGTGACTCACTGACCACGATGTTAAGTAAAATTCTTACCCCTCAGTTTCCTAATCTGTAGAATCGAGGTGTTCAAGTGCCGACTGCATGGGTTGAAAGGGGAGGACTCAGTGAATTGAGACGTGCCGTGTTGAGCACACTTCCTGGCACTCAGTGTATGGTAGCAGTGGGCTGTGATTCAAGGGGAGTTCTTGATACATGGCTGTGTCTTATGTCGAAAGGAAACCACATCTGTCATCCTGTGTGCGTGATCTCAGAGATGCTCACGCCGTGTATGTGCTTTCTGGAGAGGACACTGTTAACCTGGGTAAAGGTGTCGATGATGACAAAAGCAAAAGGCAGTGGTAACCAGCCCACAGAGAGTGGGATGAGGCTGCTGGTGAGAAGGATTAAGCAATGCCTCTCTCACATTTTGCCTGTCTTATTTCTTGAAGGTGAATGATTCAAACTGTGACCAAGAACTTCTTTCCCTGCTCCTGGATGCCAAGTTGTTGGTGAAGTGTATCGCCACTCCCTTCTATCCGCATGTCATTGAGCACCTCTTGGCCAGCCCCCAGCAAGGGCGCTGGGATGCGGAGCAGCTGGCCAGACACCTGCGGGAGGCCGGCCATGAGGCCGAAGCTGGGTCGCTCCTTCTGGCCGTGAGGGGCACTCATCGGGCCTTGAGAACGTTCCGCACAGCCCTCAGCGCGGGACAACACTGGGTCTGAGCAACCTGCCCACGGCCCACATGCAGCCACCAGTTTCTCAGCTTCCTGGTGGAGAAGAGCATCCAGAGCTGAATGCTGTTCCAGAAGCAAAATGTGTACCAGCTGCTGGTTCTCAGTGGTTCCAACGAATTGCAAATAAAGCTGTGTGTAAATGATGAGCAAGCTGCCATTCTTTAAACTTGTTTGTCTTTCTTATAGTCACTGGTTAACATACTTTCTTCTTGACTGAGAGAGACTTGATTCTTCCTCCTTTTTTTGAACTGCCGTTTCTGGATAGAATACAATTAATAAAGTATCTATAAGTGTAGTTCAGACAGTTGGATGTGGTGGTGGGTAGGGTTGCATTAGAAAGAGAGCTTGTGTGGAATGGTTCCTGGCTGGAGCAGATGTCTTGGGATGGAGGAAGGATGGGATTCAAGTATCAGGTTAGTTACACATCTTTGGCAAAGTACTCCACCTCTCTAAAGCTTAGTCTATCGTGTATAAAATGGGGGTTGTATTATTTATCTCACAAGGTTGTTGATTGTTATGTGAGGTTGTGTGTGTGAGGCTCTGTTAGATACATAGTAGAGGCCCAAGAAATGTTACCTCTCCTCCAGCCTCACTAGTGTTACAGTATATGAGTTGTGGTTTTAAGGCCATAGCCAAATGATAATACCAGCACATGAGGGCTGCCTACCCAATTAGGGACCGCCAAACTTATCAAGATCACTATATGAGGTTGACAAATTTGCCTGTCTGTGAAACCTATATAACTAGGTAGGGGGCTAACAGAGCCAGCATGTACACTGATAGGTAGGATCGGCATACTGGGGTTCACTAATTTACATATAGCCAATCATCGCAGGGGTGTAAATAGCAACACCATTGAGAAAACCCACACAGAAGGGATATTCCCCGGACAAGGACCCTCATGCATAACTCACTGGCACTTGATCCCACTGTGGAAATGTGTGCTTGCAGGTCGAGGCTCTGGCTGGAAGTCTGGACTTAGTTTTGTGTGAGTCTCACACCAGATCCAAGCCACAGCAACAGCCTAGGCAGAAGCTGGGGGGAGAGAGAGCAAACTCGGTGACTGAAGGACCATCAGAGGACCCATCTGATGCACACTGGTCTTTATCTTGACTCCAAAGAAATGTTTGGAGGGAGGGAGAGAGGGTGGCTGTGTATTAATAGGAAGGTTTAGTCTAGATAGATGAGATAATATCACCTAGGACAATCTTTTGTTAAAAGGGATAATTTCTAATTAAGTAATTTAAAAGGCTACCAATGGTCAATTTCTATATTGCTCTGTCAAAGCCAGTGGGCTGAATATAGCATAGCTCCCTGTGGGTCTTTGATGTATGGCATAGCGGGGCAGCCTACCCTCCACATTTCCTCCCGCTCTCCCACCAATGCCCTGCACACACCTGGTTGAGTGCACTCTCCACTCTGAGAATAATATCACTTCACCTTACACTCTGTCATCATCATCGTCATTGGCCTCACCTCATCTCTACTCATGTGGGTGTAGCTACAGAGTCCTCCGACAAGAAAAGTTGTCATCATCTTTGGAAGAGACTTATTGGCATAATGGCTCGCTCCCCTGACTTCTGACCAGTTGTCTACCCTCGGGTTGAGTTCCTTGCCAAAACCTTCAGCAGCACCTGGAATTTGGGAATGGCTTGCACGAGCCTTTGAAATACTTTCCGAGGAAAGGGATCAGCTTATTTCTCCCAAATTAGATAGCATCTGTCCAGACTGACCCACGAGGCCAAAAAGGTCTTCCTAGTACTCTGATGGCACCAGCTGTACCAGATGGCATTTATCAAGCCACTGCTGGGAGGCCTGCCTACTGGTCACAGGTTTTCTCTCACCTTACAGCTAACTTCCATCATTTCAGGTGATTGAAAACATGAAGTGAGCAGTAGTCTGAGATAACATCGTCCATTTTAATGCAATCCATCCAGAGGTGGTTTTCTTCAAATTGCAGAATTATAGGCCTTAGATGAGTATAACACCCTGACTTTATAAATTACCAACCTGAGGCCTAGGGGGCTGAAGTGACTCACTCAAGGACAATAGTGAACTGTGGGTCTCCATATTTCCAGCTACCCCCTCCGAAATGCTTATGAGGGAGGGATTCCCTCATATAAACTATGTTGCTCCCATCTGACTTATGTCCTTGCTTAACAGAAACCAAATCTGCAAGGCATGAGCAGTTTCTAGGGGAAAAAAAGAGCAAAGAAATAAAGGAATTCATTGTGGATTCATACCAATTGCATAAATACTCAGAAGACTGAGTTGGTCTTTGTGTTGGTATTTAGAATGTTAACCATAAATGTTAGATAAAGAGGTAAGATAATATGTTGTCTTTCTTAATGTAAAAAGCTCCTTACAGTTACCCCAAAGCTTTCTCTTTGAAAACAAAGCAGAATGAGAAAGAGCTGTGCTGGCCCTGACTCACACTCAGATTTGATAGCTTTGCTTGCCTGGAAAGTGGAGCCAAGAATGAGCAGAGTAGAGAGTGAGCCTTTGGTGTCAGAAGGGCTAGGTGTGAATGCTAGGCTGAACCTTCGGGCTTCGTCTCTCTCAGCCTCATTTTCTCCTGCATAAGTAGAGTTAATAATGCCTTTCCAGACATTTGCAGTTCAACCAGAAAATGCTGTTGCATCGCTGCCACCATGTGCTCTATGCCCTGCCGGATCCCCACTCTGCCAAGGGACTCTGTTCCCTGTTGATGGTGCTGGGCCCTGCTTCAGCTGAAGAAATTCTCCCCCAAACTTATACCCAAAGCTTTAAATGCATTAATTCATTTAATTTTCATGATAACCTTTTAAGGAAACGAGGTACAGAGAGGATAAGTAATTTGCCCAAAAAGCTAGTAAGTTAATGGAACCACAATACAATCTTAGGTAACTGACTCGGAAATTAACCCTTGGCCGCAAAGCTGTATTAACTTCAGTCATCAGAGCTCTTCAGGTCCCCCTGCTGAGGAACGTGATGAACTTCCTGGAGGGCATTTGAATGACACTGTGCTATATTTTCCATCCCTCCTTTCCATTTATGAACTGATAATATCATGGCACAAGGGGGCTGTGAAATGTCCTTTGAGTCTTTCCAACTGCCCACTGATGTCCCAGCCTTCCGAAAGGTGGGGCACACTTCAGCTTCTCTCTGTTCAAGAGCTCCAGTACTGAAATATAGAAACTCCCCCACTTCTTGCAGAATACCTAGCGGCCTTCATTCAAACCTTCCCTAGTAGGCCCAATTTCCCAGAAGGTGCTCATCTATTTGAACACCATTAACGTTCTCTGTAACCATTAACGTTCTCTGTAAACAATTATTATTATTATTATTATTATTATTATTATGGCATCACCTAGCTTACTAAATGAGGACACCTAGCTTCACCTAGCTTACTAAAATGAGGACAAGTCAAGGACTTCTACAGTGTTAATATCCACTTTGAAGTTCATTGGGACCAATGGTTAACAATCATGGCTGCATATTAGAATCACCTGAGGACAGAATTTAACACCTACTGATGTGGAGTCCCCCACCCCACCCTGACCAATTAAATCAGAATGTCTAGGGGTCAGGCCCCAAGACATGCTAAACCACAGCCAGTTGAGGGAACCAGATTTATGTCATCAGCTTCTCATTTCTTGTTGGCCATGCCTCTGCCCACTGCCTTTTATTCAGAAGCAAACAAGGAAAGTGAAGACCTAATCCTGGCCCCTTCCCCTTGCCAGTCCCACTCTGGAAAGTTCTGCTGGGAAAGGAGGAGGCTGGAGTTCCTGGTTTGGGAGTGATTTGTCAATGCCAGTTCTCTTCCTTGGCCCTCACTCTTGACGGTGAGCAGGAGCTGGCTTTAAAGGAAGGGAGCAATTTAAAAGAGAAATGAAAGGGCCGGCCTGGTGGCTTAGTGGTTAGGTGTGCGCGCTCCGCTGCTGGCGGCCTGGGTTCGGATCCCGGGTGCATACTGACGCACTGCTTCTCTGGCCATGCTGAGTCCACGTCCCACATACAGCAACTAGAAGGATGTGCAGCTATAACATATACCTATCTACTGGGGCTTTGGGGGAAAAAAATAAATAAATAAAATTTAAAAAAATAAAAGAAATGAAAAAAGCCCCATCGCTTACTTAACCTGCAGCTAAATTTAGATCTGGAGTTGGAGGTGTTCCCCGAGTCAGCTCGGTTCCCAGTGCCTGAACAGCCGCAGCCCTGTGGTGTAAGTTTCCCCTTCGCCTTGAAAGCTGGGTCTTTTTGGAAGGAAAACTCATTATGATAAATGTAGCCAGAGAGCACTCAAATGCAGGTTTGCCCTGTCTTCATTTTTCTACAGCTAACTGTAAACGCAGCCGCTCCATACCCTCATTGAGCTCCAACAGCTGGGGATTCAGTATCTCTTCTTAAAAACTCCTTATAAACTGAAGATGGCTTATAAAACAAGAAAGGAGGAAAATAGACTAACGAGCGTTCCAGGGCTTGAGAGGAAGAAAAGGAATTTGCTACTTTGAGTACTCACACATTGGGTTTTCTCTCCACCGGTGTGGGAGATACGAGAAGCAAGGCTAGGTGTCCTCTTGTTCGCGTGAATCCCGAGTTCTTAGACTGGAGACTAACACTGCAAATGTGAGAGCTGTAGTGTTGCAACCTGCTCACAGCTCTGAGCCAGGAATGATGCCCACCAGACTGTTATGAGTGAAATGAGAAACAGCTCCGATTTTCGTGCTGGTGTTAAACTACTAGAGCATGAGTTTCTCCTCCCTAGTGGCTGTCAAGAGCTCTGGAAGGGTCCGTCAGGGCACAAGAAGCAGATTTCAGAGACCAAAGCCCTCAACAATGGTCAGGTGGTGAGGGAAGCTGTAGGATATGTGATTCCGATGGCCCTGGAGGGGTTCCAGAGGTGGGGGTGATCCTGATGCTTAACTAGCCAAAGGGAAGGGGCCAGATTGGGATTTTCACTCTGCTATAGGTCACCGTTGGCCTGGCTGATGGAATTCATGTCCTGACGAGCAACATGCCTGTTGCTGAGGCAGTGCAGTTTAAGAGAAAGTGCTGGATTAGAGGCAGGGATCTGGGTTTGAGCTGGCCTGGCTAGTTTATGACTCTGGGCAACTTCACCTCTTACATTTCTCTCTGTTTCTTATCTACACCTCTCCACTGT